GCTTTGATACTGGATCAAGATGTAAGCTGTCATTGCAGCACTTGTCCAGCAGGTGTCAGCCTTAGCCCACAGATACCGTAGTTGGAGCCCACTGCAGAGCCCGCAGCAGCAGAACCTAGCGCCACTGCAGCACTAAGACAAGAGCCTCACACAGCTTTCCTCCATCAGCACCGCCAAGCCAACTCGAGCCAAGATGGCAGACAGTGCCGCCCAGTTGCACCCTCGTGCATGAACTGTCTCCAGGAGGTTAGGGAAACTGAAGGAACTCAGATTGAGAGGAAAGGTGATTTTTGCTCTTTTCCTGTGCCACATTGCAGGGATGTTCCCAGGCCTTGGGGAGCAGCATCAAGCGTGCACTGCTAGGAGGGGCGAGGTGTGAACTGTGCGGACAGCGACGTGGGGTCAGCCTGCGAGTGGTCACTTCTCTCTGTGCACAGTTACAACTACAGTGCACTGCTGTACAGTACTGTGTTTAGACACCTTTTGAAGGTTATGTGTCCTTTATTTTATTTTATTTTGGGGCATGATGTTTTTCAGGGGGTGCACTGAGCTGCAAAGAGGCTATGCAGATTTATGCCGCTTTCCGAGCCACAGCTCAAGGCCCGTCTGCGCAGGGGCAGCCGATGGGAAGAGCCGGAGCAGTCCCTCCGACGCCTTCAGCAGTGCGATCTAACGAACGCGCCGTCGGGCGCTCCTCGACATCGGACTTCACGTCCGCAGGACGAAGCAGATCCGCCAGGGTCAAGTCAGGGTGAGCTTGAAGCGAGACGGGGGACATTTCAGCAGGAGAGCGTGGCTAAGAAGTGCGCTCTGCGGGAAGAAGGGAGTTTGCAGAGCAGACACAGCACAGCGGTGCAGGCTCAGCACCGGGAGCTGGGCATTGACAAGCTATTAACGCAGGGAGAAAAGCTGAACAGCTAATCAATGGACAGTTATCTCTTCAAACCGAGACGCTCCCCAGCCGCCAGTCAGGCCAAGAAAGTCATTAGCGGGGTGTCAAAGTCAGCCTGAACGAAACAATTTGCCCGAGGAGGCGAGCGTTTTCATGTGGCAGATGTGGCTGTGAGTGTCGATGCCCTGGGGGGCTGGCATCTCTCTGAGCGCGGAGTCGGGGCAGTGGGGCTGCGGCCAGCTCAGTGCGTCTCTGGAGCGAGTGACAGCCTGAGGAGGAGGAGGAGAGAGCAGCGGGCGGATGGAGAGAGGAAGAGAGAGACAGAAGGAGACGGAGAGAGCAGAGGGCACGGGCGAGCGG